AAAAATTTGTAGTCACATCGATCGAATGCTTTCATAAAGCTCTCGACTGTTTACACAGTCGACTGAGTGATCACGATAGACTCGACCGGAACGAAAACGTTCTAGAATATTCTAGAATTGATCAAAATGTATCAAATCAGAGTATTTCATCCAACAGTTGCTATGGCAACCGAAACGGTTTAAAATGGACAAGGCACGACCGGAACGAAAGAAAAACGGTTTCGCGTTCGTTGCAATGAGAAATTGGCGAAAAATCAAAATTCAACTCAGAAATCAGTTTATCTCAAAATTGTCAGCGAATACAGTCGGTTGAATCACTTAAATTGGATCAAAATTTAGCAAATTGCGAATATACAAAAATGAACCCAGGAGAAACATCGAAGACAGGAAAAGGAAAGAAGATGGTCAGGATACAGGATCGGAACGATACCTTAAGGGAAGAAGTAACGGAGACGACATTTCAAAGAACTAGAACGATACAGCGGACCCCAAATAGATCAGATTCAGAAAATTCGGACGCAGAAGGAATACCACAGGTGGAATGGCATTCAATGAATAGACAAATCTCGACAAACACTGCAAACAACGGTCAGTCAACATCAACTGCTGAAACAGCCCACCTATTGATAGTCTCGTTTTGGGAACTCATGGGATCGGAGAAAAATGAGGACCGCAGATCAGTAATAGAATTAGAAGCTGATTCGTCCATGCAAAGCCCGAAATCACCGAGGCAGAATACATCAGGAGATGAAACGAAAACAGGTCAAATCATTGAAGTGGATTTAACTGTAGACAGCATTGACGACAGGGAGTATGGTTCAGAGGTTAGCGTGGTCACGCCGCAACAGACAAAAAGGGTTGGCCACAGATCCAGGAAACACGAACATCAAATAGCGGGGCAAGCAAATGGTGAGAACGGCCCGTTATCACTCACAAAATTATTTGATAAAAGTCTACTGGCGGAATTGGTATCAGAAGATACTTGGATAGATCGGCTAAGACGAATGGCTGAGCGGAACGACAGACAAGGATTCGAGATGATTGGTCCCTACACCAACCCGCTCTGGCATAAAATGTCTGTAATAGATGACTGCCTCCTAGTGGATAATCGTTTTTGCAGTACCAGAGAAGTTGAGACAAGCTGTGCTTCGGCGACTTCACCAAAGACATCCCGGACAAGAAGCGATGCTGGAGGTTTCCAACTACATGTGGTGGCCACATATGCATAAAGACATAGTTAACATGGCCGAAGAGTGTAGGAGTTGCACTCGTTACGATAAAGAACATTTGGAAAGATCGGCGCTAACAGCTTCGCAGTTGAAGAGACGCATTGATCAATCGCGAGACAATGTCAAAATTATCCAAAAAGGTCGAAATAGTCGGGACGTCAGCCCACTATTTTTGCGTAATACTACGGCAGCTAAAGAAAGGGCCAGAGCAAGGGAACTAAAGCAACTACTAGAGGCCAATGTACGATGTAATGCCACTCGAAGGGACATTCCAGACAGCGAGTTACGAAGAGTCGTAGGCGAGACCAGCACGATAAATCCCGAACTGAGAAAAGAATTATTATATTCATGGGAGCGATGATTTATTGAGGACAAACAGCCTACAGTGACTGACAATTTGTCGGGTAGCTTCCTTCGCAAACACGAACAGAGAAGAAGTGGAAAAGCCCTAACAATACCTCTAAAAGGGAAAGTTGTATCGGAGAATAGTAGAGTATTTGTCTAGAGACCTGAAGGGTGAACCGTGGCCGGAATCAGTATTGGATGAAAAATTTGTAGTCACATCGATTGAATGCTTTCATAAAGCTCTCGACTGTTTACACAGTCGACTGAGTGATCACGATAGACTCGACCGGAACGAAAACGTTCTAGAATATTCTAGAATTGATCAAAATGTATCAAATCAGTATCAAATCTGTTCAAAACTGCCTGTACAGTCCAGAATAGAAGGTTTGGAGAAAAATAGAAGCCCAACAGGGGAAGAACCAAGAAGTAAGCAACAAAAGACAGTAACACAGGATGAAGACGGTGACAGTGAGTCGGCCGAAGAACATGACGTAAAAGATCAGGGGCCAAGAGACCAGGAAATAGAAGACAGTTGGTTGGTGGACAAGTTTCAAAATTCGCCTAGCATAGTAACGTCGAAGGATACAAAGACGGGCGGGGGCATTAACCTAGGAGGGAAAAAGAACAAGCCGAATCGAGAGGTATTTCATAAAATTTTGTTGTCCTCAGGGGAATGTGGTACGGTGTAGTACTGTTGCCACAGTAACCTTGGAGAATAAGTGGTATTAATATTCTGTTATGTATTGTTAGTATTATTCAAGGCCATTCATGCTGGCCGAACGCAACAGTCATTTGGACGTTTGCAATCTGAAGAGAGATATGAAAAGATAAACATGATCTCTAAACAAAAACCAAGTTTCAACAAGAGTTAAATTACAACTTATTACTCTTCTGTTTTATTACAAACTAACTCCCATAGCATAGGAATATCACATAACAAATGAGCATTTGCTGATATAGAATGCACATCTTTATATGCGTGCGTGCCTTATATATTCGAAAAGTTTTAAAATGAAGGCTATGATTTCGGACATGTCATTTTATGAGATGATTTCTTACTTTCTTCTTTTTTGTTCTTTTCCTAGTTAAGATTAATGCCAACTTACTCCAGAAATCAGTTACAGACTAAATATTTTTACCTTAATGTAATTGTATTGTAGTTACTTACGCAAATTAAAAATCCAGTAATCAATTCATGACATTTCCATCCTTCTTCCATAATAAAACTGCACTTTTTCAGGCCAAAATGGCAAAATTGGGTTTCAAGAGTTAGACTCATTTCACTCCAAATTGGGCTCATTCAGCTCCACTTGCAAAAGAAAATTTCATTCTGCCTCTTTTTAAAAATTAGATCATAGTATATAATATTCAGTCCTATAATGATAAAACGGTGACCAAAAGTTTGGCCAATTGGCTAATAAATGGGCTTATCTGGCTCATTTTGCTAGAAATTGCGCGTGTTCAGCCCCTTGTTGTAACATTGGACTCATCCTGAAAAATATTCATCTTCATACTGAAAAAGAGAGACCAATACTTTGGCCCAATTTGCTACAAGTTGGGCTCCTTTAGCTAATTTTGTTATTTTGCTTAAAAAGTGGGCTCATTAGGCCCCATACTGAAAAAGGAACGAATAATTAAGCCCATATCATTAAAATTGGGCTCATTTAGATTCTTTTGTTAAAAACTGTGTTCAATCAGTTCATTTTTTGTAAGAATTGGGCTCATTCAGCACCCTTCGCTTGGGATGTGATATCGCTTGTATAAAACTATTTTATCTGGTTAGAAAGTTGAAGTTCTCAAAGTAAGTGCTGTTAATAATTTTTTCGCGACTCCTAATGTGGTAACAACTTTTTCTGTTTTTTTTGGTTGCTACCGCGATTAAACGTCAGATATAGTCAATTGATATCAAATTCAACAAATTTCAATTGTCATTCAATCGACATTCAATAGATTCGAGAGCTGTTCTTAGTGCAGAGGAAAACCGGTTTGATATTTTTGTTCAAGACGATTTGAAGAGTGAAGAACCATTCTTCAATGGTTTCTTAAACTTTTTTAGCATATGCTTATTATTATATAACCCGTAGTAGTTACTTTCAGGTAAACTTTTTGTCGCCACCATCCGCGCACGAATACAAAGAACAAGACTACTCGTATCAGGGCGAAGCCCTGAATGTTCCGACTGCCTTTAAGGTTTTATGGAGCAGTAATAACATTAAAAAATTAAATGTAAGAAAAAATATAATGAAAATTTTTTTTTTCAAATTTGAATTTTTTTTGTGAAAATCATCTCCCCACACGCCATACAAAGTATAAAAGGATAAATTTCGCTCCTTGTAACAAATCAATTATGGCAAATAAGCTTCTTTCAACCAATTTGGAACGATTTTAAGTCGGATTAACTCTCCGCTCACGCGTTAATAGCGCGAAATATATCGCGCGTTAATTGTCCCAAATTGGCCAAAATGGCAATCTTTAAACCCCCATAATTTTACGAAAAAGGATCACAGGTGAAATATCTTTTCAAATTTGAGCTCAGGACAATAATACCTTTCGAATGATATTAGAAAATTCCGTCAAAAACGGCTAGTTAAAAAGTCGAAATTTGTCTGAAGAAAAAAAACCCACCCCGAGCACAAATATTCCGTTACTTTCGTATCGAAAGTCGGAACAATTACTTTCGTATCGCAAGTCGGAACAATAAAGTTAAGTGAGGAAAAGAAAATTAAATGAAAACATTTGTTGTTGTTATTTTTGCAAAATTAACAGTGGTTGGCTATTTTTTAAAAAACACGACTATTCTTGTTTTTGTTCCGAATTTCGATACGAAAGTAACGGATTATTTGTGCTCGGGGTGAGTTTTTTTTTCTTCAGACAAATTTCGACTTTTAAACTAGCCATTTTTGACCAATTTTTTTTCATCAATCGAAAGCTATTGTTGTCCTGAGCTGAAATATGAAAAGATATTTCACCTGTGATCATTTTTCGTAAAGTTATGGGGGTTTGAAGATTGCCATTTTGGCCAATTTAGGACAATTAACCCGCGATATACTTCGCGCTATCAACGCGTAAGCGGAGAGTTAATCCGTCTTAGAAATCGTTCCAAATTGGTTTAACGAAGCAGCTTATTTGCCATAATTGATTTGTTACAAGTAGCGAAAACTATCCTTTTGTACTTTGTATGGCGTGTGGTGGGATTATTTTCATTAAAAATTTCAAATTTTCGAAAAAAAAATGTTTCCTTTTTTTATACATTTAATTTTTTAATGTTGTTACTGCTCCATAAGCCTTTAAAGGCAGTCGGAACATTCAGGGCTTCGCCCTGATACGAGCAGTCTTGTTTTACTTTGATTTCGACTGCTCTAATTTCCAGTATAACTCTCTAAATTTCGAATGAAACATCCTCCGTGTTTCGTAATTTTGCTTCAGATCAACACGCGGAGCCATCACAAGTTGGAATTGAGAGACACTTCTGCGTCTCGCGGGGGAGGGGGTAGTGACCTGCTGAAGACAAACAGTGCGGCAAACAAGTTCTTCAATAGCCACACTTCTCTAAACATCATAGGTATGGTGCGACTACTGTCATTCTTATTGTCACTGTCATTGTTAATCTGATTGCTCAAATAAATCGACTAGTTCAAGCTTGATTGGCCTGCCAACCGACGCTCCTGGAGCCGAAATGATTTCAACTTAACTGAAGTATTTTTATAACACGAATGAGCTGGTCTATTTGAGCTCCTTATCATCACTCCGCATAAGCTAAATATCTTTTTAAAACTTTATCCGCACATACCGCATTTGTAAAAAAAAAATGCATTTAAAAAAAAAAACGAAATTTGTAAAAAAAGAAATTCGTTACTAGGTACAAAATTTACATATGCTTAACCTCTGAATTATTTCTTGATAGGCCTATCAAGAAATAATTCAATGGTTAAGCATATGTAAATTTTGTACCTAATAACGAATTTCCCCCTTTTCGCAGAAGGGGGAAATAGTTAAAGAGATCCGGTTAATGTACACTTCCACTTTATGTCGTGTAAAACCAGTTTGTGGTACGACTTAAGTAGCGCACATTGACGCTCTTGCCGACGTTTTTCTCTACAAAATGCGGTTTTATGTAAATTGTATGATTAGCATTTTTTGGCAAAAACTTTTTCTTTTTTGTATATGACTATACATCGAATTTTATGCCAAAACAAGAGAAAGTTCTTTGAAAATTCGATGACTTCATTTTAGCAAAATGTATGAAATTGGTATGAGTAGTATTTTTTTCAAAGACTTAGTTAATGGAATTGTATGATTAGGATTTTCGGTCTATGGAGTTCAACCCGGGGGGAGGGGGGCGATATTTGCTACCCAAATTAGCCTAAAAACTTATGGAGATGAAGGGGTAAGGGTGAAGAGGAATGGGAATTTGAGCAAGTGAAGGTATATTAATCTTTTTTTTTTCACCTCGATTTGAGCGAGCTATCTGCTTCGAAAATAGCAAAAAGGTACGTAGCACGCTCAAACTTCGATAAAATTGCTCATTGATAAAAACTAGTATATTTAATCTTTGGCGTCTTAAAACCAAACTTAGAAGTTGGTAGTAGCTGAAAATTGTAGCAGGATCTGAAAGTTGGACTTGAGTTTGTGTACCATTCGGCTTTTTGATATGCTAATCCAGTTTCGGCTTCTAGCTTCTCTAGTTTCTTCACCTCTTCGCCTCTTCACAGTGTATCATTTAACGTGCAGTGCCAACTTCACATTGAAACTGAACATGACAGTATTGTCTGCAGTCTCTATTACTCTAAGCTGATCGTCAGTTCTGTTCTCGACCATAAGTTATGATGGTCCACAGTCTAAATCGTCATTATTTTTTGTAAGCCCTGACAACAGGAAGGCAAATAGGGAAGTAAGCGCCCGTACAACGGTCAGTATGCCTTTTAGATTGTTCAAGATTTTAACAGTATCCGAGCTTAGCATCTAAAAAAGACGAGAACTCAAATGAGTTTGAACTGTGACGTCTAACCAATTGAATATTAAAAGCTCCGCAGAAACAATTAAAAAATAATGGTTGACAAATTGCAATTTTTTCAAATAGCGGAGCTGTTTTTGTGTCACCTTTGAAATTGTTCAACAAGGTCGAGCAATGGTAGATTTTGAACCACCAATCGATCTACCTTTTTTGTGGTTGATCGATACTCAGCCCCTCCACGATAGCTCCACCTAAAAAGAAAACGCGTTTCATTCGGCGCACACTCGCTCTAAACTATATGAAACGCAGAAGCTTCTCCAAAAAATTACAGAACACAATTAAGAAACAATACGTTAAACATGAATTTATTTCATTGTACCTGAGCTCCACACAAAAAATAAAATAACCTCAAAAATACTTACAACACCTTAAAAGTATGTGTAAATGAACTTTGAAAAATACCTATTTGGATAACTGTATCTACATAAACAACCTTGAAAACGAGGTTAATAACTATTGCTATCTTTAAGAAACTTTGCCACGTTTCACAAACTCAAAAAATTGGCAGAAATTTTCGAAAGCGATTTGAAAAAAAAAAAAAAATTTTCATTTGTTAAATACATATTTAAATTGCTAGCCCTGAATAATAGGGAAAAAATCAAACTAACTGAATTTTTACAACTTAAACTGTGTCTTAAGAAAATAATTTCGAAGTTGATGTGAAATTTTTTTGAAAGGAATGAAATGTGCGAAAATTGTTTGCGTGTTATTGGGTTGCAGTAAGAAAACCTATTTGAACACTTTGAATTGGATTATAAACTCTTGTTGTATACTTCGTAAACTTCAAACTATATACTTAGAAAAACTTCAATATACGAAGAGTTTAGATTAAACATATCAATAAAATTAATTGTATGCTGAAAAATTTGTTGACCTTTTTTTCAAAATTTTGCCCGCGGCGCAGAAAATTTGGCGAAAACAGGGTTTTTTTAGTGCTTTGGGAGAGCTCAGAAAATCAATTCGATCGATCTAAAACAAAAAACCCGCCCCTGTTAAAATTACTGAATGTTTGGGTCTTATGTACTAAACGGTCCAAAATCAATTTTTCTACAACGTAAGCTGGAAATTATGCGTTCAAATTTGATTGGGTAATTTAAGCCAGCCAAATTCAAGTTACACGGTCAGGCATTCCGATCAACTTTTCTAACAGATAAAAGTATTAACTGAAATTGCCGAAAAGGTGGAAATTTGAGTCAAATTATTAAATTAATTTTGAGTCACTTGTGAAACCTTGCCCAGACAAGCAAAATTCAGTAAAATGGCTTGACAAAACAAAATTTAATTTTCTTTATCATTTCGGCCAATAATTTTGTCTACTTGAATTTTCAATTGAAATGGCAGAAAATGTCGATGAAACTTGATTGGCTAATTAGCCAATCAAATTCATCCACAATAATTGCAGTTCAAGAGATATAGAAATAAAGAAATTGGGCCGTTGAGTGCATAAGACCCGAAAGTTTTTTAAATACTCGTTTGGTTGTGGTCAAAAGCCATTTTGATACTTCACTTATGTCAAAATTATTGAATTTTGTTTTATAAGTAGGAGGAAAAAATTTAGGCAGAATTATTTGAAAGACCTTTGTCGCGAAAAAATGAAGTTAATTTAAAATTTTGGTTTTAGGGCCTTTTGCACGCTTGTGTAGTGAAGTACCAAAGTTATTCTCTGTTCGTTTTTTTCAAATGGCATTCCGATATTTTGTAAGTAGTTGTTCCGACTATTGCAAATGGGGAGGAACTTGCTTTGTATTGAGTGTGTAATACTTTTTTCTTTTTTTTTCACGTAAAATTAGGATCACAAAAAATCATCGGACTGGGACTAGTGATATATCATAATGAAGCCTTTTAAGTTTTCAATTCCGATTGCCTTTTAAAACATGGTTGATTTTAAAAGTTTGTCTAAAGCTTGTCTAAAGTTTTGTGTTTTATTTCATTTTTGAGCAAGTAAAGCGAGAGAGCAAGCTTATTATAGAAGGATAATAGCAAACTATTAATATTAGGAATAAAATAAGCCCTAAAGTTTTTATTCAAGCCCCAAAAAGTCCAAAATTTTTTTTTAGTTCAAAAATGTTTTTAGCTTTGTTTTCTCTCTTGTAAATAAAACAATTCAAAATATTTTTTAAAAAATCTGCAACAAAATTGAAAATTTTTTCTACAAAACTTGAAGTTTTTTCTAGTTTTTTTTTTGAAAAAAAAATTATGAGCCAATATACCTATTTTACTATGGCTAAGCTTTAATTTTGATACAGATGTTTTTATCACACTATGCACAAAAAAAACCAATAGTAAAAAAAACTTCTGTAGTTTTTCAACACAACAATATTTCTTGTATCTTCTTTGTTCCAATTTATGTCGTATCGACCCTGTTTTATTTCAAGCAGTATCTTCTCTAATCTAATACGAAGGAATATAGCTGTATAATACGTTAAAACATCTTCACAACAAAACCCCAGCATTCTCAAATCTTTGATGAGAAGCTGCTTAAGTAGCATTAAATTTTGGTGATGAATTGATCCAACTCATGTGTTGGCGGTTCTCAATTTGTTTTGGATTATTAGCTTGCCGATGAATTTTCGATTCAACTCAATTGGTTGATTGAATTTTCAAAAAACGGTTTTCTCAAAAGGTTTTCTCATGCAAACTCAAAAGGTTTTTTCATGCAATCGCAGTTTTGTAAAAAAAAAATTATTGCGGTTTTTTTTCGATTTTTATCTAGATGCAGTGCAAAAAAAATTGTTCATTCTAAAAATAAAATAGAACTTGTTTTTAAAAGAAGTTTTGTTGATTAAGCTGCTCATGTTTTGAAAGTTGGAATCGAGTGGGTATTAAAGCATTTTAGTCTTAGATATTTTGACAAAGAGTATTTATTTACGAAATTCACATCTTTACCCTAATTTTGAAACATGCTTTTTTTCAATCGGCAAGGTAAACGGATTCTTGTCCGGAAATATATCAAATGAAACTTAATTTTGCTAAATTAACTCAGGAAAGAAACCCTTTTATGCTTTATTGCAGAACATCACCGCATTGTGGCCAGCATCTTTTTAAAATAATCCTTTTGTTGATGAAACTGTTACAACTGTAATTAAATTATTCCCAAACTTTTTCTGAAAAACTTATCATTAAGGGGGTATTTTATTATAGCCCTGTTAATGATAAAAAAAGTGTTTAGTTACCTTGCACGAATTGCATGTCCTTAATTTTAGCTCAATTTGATAAATAAGTTATGTGGAGGTGTCGATTTTGAAAAATTGTAATACGCATTTCAATAAATCCGCCGTAAAAATTGATATTTTAGAGCATTGATTTCTCGGTTGATTCCTGGGGAAAAACATATTTCATGAATTTGTTTTTAGAAACATTAAAATCAATACATTCATGTTTCATAATTGTTTATTTTGCTTGCGATTAGAAAACGCCATCAAGCCGGATTAAAGACTTTTTTTCGGACTGACAACTAGATTATCAGAATCACTTTAATCATTTTACCCCTGGTTCAGGTAAATCAGTTATTTTGCGCATGCAGCAAAGAGCTAACGCAGCCGCCATTAAGGACAAAATTCATTGGTTTGTATTTCTGCCTCGTTTCGGTTCTAAGGTAGATCGGTTTCGGAAAGCTGGTTGATTGACAAAGTTTCATTTCATACGTAATATAACCGTAATTATCTGAAATTACAACTCAAAAAACGATACTGTTTTTTTTGTATTTAAAAGCAGAACTGAATGTCATAAAATACGCAAAATGAAAACATTAAAAATCAACTTTAGGGCAGCGCCTGAACAATTTGTCCACTTTGTTTCGGTCGTTCAGTTTTCGACTTTCTAACACACTGTTCTTCCTTCACCAGATTTGTTACAACCATGGTTTTTCTCGCAATGAATTCTAGCGAGAACAGTTTAACTTCCACCTGGACCTGTAAGCTGTTCTTAAGCGAAAAATTATCCGCACGTCAAAAAATCTCTGTAGGACCTCTGCTTGTCTGCTTTTTTTGTCGGCTTAGTTGCCGCAGCACTAATTTTTTTGCCAAAAAATTGGGCATTTTGCTTAATCCAAAAAAAACTTTCAGTGTATTTGGGTTTTGGGCCAGTAATTGAGTTCCAAAAAGTTGACAATTTTTGACTATTTTAGATTTTCATGTCTGCAAACTTTCAATGGCTTAAGTCCCGCAGAAATTTTTTTGAATATTTTAGATTTTCATGTCTGCAAACTTTCAATGGCTTAACTCCCGCAGAAATTTTTTTGAATATTTTAGATTTTCATGTCTGCAAAATTTCATCGACTAAGGTCCCGCAGAAGGGTTAAGTCCCGCAGAAAACGTTTTTTTTCCTCTGTGTTTAATTTTTTTTACTCCCCTGATCTCAAACAATTGTTTTTTTGCAGCCTGAAATTTTGTAAAAATAAAAAAAATAAACTGGTTAGATTGCATGTTTGCAGTCCATTACACTAGCAAAACCTTACCAAAACACTGCTGTTTTAAATAAGAAAGATTCGTTTTATAAACTGGTTTTGATCTAATCTTCACTGTGCGCTTTCAAATTTAGTTTTAAAAGCAAAAATTTTAAGCTAGACTGAGAAAAAAATTACTTCAATGTGCTTTAATCTTGGTAAGCAACCCTGCACCTACATTAGTAAGTATACGCGAGAGTCCATGCTCAAAACTTTTTGACAATTAAGTGACTTCCATTTTATATATTTCTGCTCCTCTCCACAGTTTTAATTAGTAAAGTTTTGGGCCGTTGAAGTAAAAAAGCCATTTTTGAGAAACTTAAGTTGCAGATCTAATCACGACTGAAATGACATCAATAAGATGCCATATTCAACGTTTTACCAAAAAAAAAATATGAAAAAAAACTCAAGATTCGCATCCTCACCTTGCGTGGTCGGAACAATAACAAAGAGCCCAATACAAGCCGAAATTATTTTGCTTAGGTTAAAAGATTTGCTCTTCATTTCTGGGCTGGATTGTCCACTTCAAAGGCAAAAAAGGCCGAAAAATTGAGCCAAAAAACGTAATAAAAATGATTGAAAAAGTGAAAAATGAGCAATTATTTTGAATTATTTTACTACAGATTTACAGAACTTACTACAGAACTTCGGGATAAACTATTTGGTTTCACCTTAGTCTATTTCGTGAAGTTGGTTCAGGGGATTAGTTAGCGATTTCAGCAAATTGTTATATCATCAAAGCTAGCCTTTTTATCCCTCTGCTATAATACATTTGAGCCCAACATTGGACCCAGTTTTTAGAAAAATGAGTTCAGGCAGTCCCTATATAATAACTGCAAAAACTAAGCTAATTTGAAACATTTTGCAAAGAATTGGGCTAATTTATCACTTTTTCAAGTCATTGATTTAATTCAGCCCTATCCTGCAAAGAATGGACCAAAAATTGAATTCTGCTCGAAACTGAATTCATTATGTTTCATTTGCTAAAGTTTAGTCTCTTTTGGCCTCTTCCAAAAAATGGGCTATTTCAGCACCAAACTCAGAAAACGGAGACCAAAAATTGAGCCCAATTTCCTTAAGATAGAGCTCATTCAGCTCTTTTTGTAAATATGTGGGTCAATTTTGCTAAAAATTGGGGTCAGTTGGCTCTTTTTGCTAGAAAATGATATAATTCAGCCTCTTGATGAAATATTGGGCTCCCTCAGAACTATATTGCAAAAATGGCACCAATAATAATTAGGGCTCATTTTGCCCGTTGTTGAAAAATATGCTCATGCTCCTACATACTGAGAAAAGAGGGAGCAACAAATAAACCTATTTTGCATAAAATTGGGCTTACTCAGCTCAAAGATGGGCATGCTCATGGGCTATATATTGGGCTCATTCAGCTCGTTGTGCTAAATATTGAGCATATTCACCCCTTGATGAAATATTGGGTGCATTTAGCCTCATACTGAGAAAACTGGGATCAATAATTGGGCCTAATTGGCTAGTTTTTTGGGTTTTTCAGCTTGTTTTGCTAATATTTGAGCTCACTTGGCTCCTTAGTCAAAAAAAGGGGCACAATAAGCTCCTTTTGCTAAAAATTGAGCGGGTTCAGCCCCTTGCTGAAATATTGGATGCATTCAGACCCATGCTGAGAAAACTGGGATCAATAATTGGACCCAGTTTGCTAAAATTTGAGTTTTTCAGCTCGTTTTTCTAAAATGAGCGGATGGTTAAAAAACGGGTTCATTTAGCGCCTTACTGAGAAAATCGGGACCAATAAATGAACCTAGTTTCTATTCATAAGGTCCACACGGTCTCAAACCGGATTCCTTTGGTCCACACGGTCTTCAACCGGATTCCTTCGGTCCACACGGTCTCAAACCCGATTCCTTTGGTCCATACGGTCTCAAACCGGATTCCTTTGGTCCACACGGTCTCAAACCGGATTTCTTTGGTCCACACGGTCTTCAACCGGATTCCCTGAGTCCACAAGGTCTGAGTATTGCATTTTTGGTCCTAACGGTCTGAAAATGCTAAAATTTGGTCCGCACGGTCTGGTCTCAACATAAAAATACGACCGCGACCCGGGTAGCTCCGACTGGGTTGCTAATAACTACAATTAATTAGTTTGTTATCTCATTCGCTGTTACTTGATTGAGATATGTGCATAGGTAGTATGGTCACTATAGACCAGGCGACCAGTGTGTCGACTAGCCGACTGACCGCCAGACAGAAGCTCTACCTCATCACCATCGTCATCGCCAAGTTCGTCCACCAACTCTGTACGTTCTGGGGTGCAATAGTCTACCCCCTGGAGGCGTCCAGAAGGGGCTTCGCCAAAATGCACATCGGAATGACACTCATCTTTGTCAGCATTGCCAGGTGAGTTGAAAACTATCTGGACAGAAGATGTGCCAGAAGTACTTTGGGCAGCAAAAAGTACTCACAAAATATAGCTTAAGATATGATTTAGTAATGCGGCACCGAGTAAGCCGATGAAATACTGTATTTTTGCTTCAGATATTAGCTCACAAAAATGTTGTTTTTTTGCTCTAAAATGTGCATAAATCAAATCATCATACGTGAGTCATTGTTCCAACCATTGAAAATGGAAAAGAACTTTGTATTCGGGTGTATTTTAGTTTTTTGCTTTGTTTTCCATGCAAAATTAGGTACCGCAAATAATCATCGGACTGGGTTGAGTGATATATCATTATTAAAGCACCTTTAAGTCATGATTCGTACCAATGATTCGAAAATTTTTTAAGCGTTTTTTTTAGAAAAATCGATTTGAAATTTTTGATTTTTCGTCAAAATTTGAGCGACGAGAGCAGCGAGCACGCTTATTCCTGCTTAATTCAGACCGTTTACCATAACTTATTTAAGCTTAATTTTAATTTTACTCGAATAAAATCAGTTTTTGGAGATGTTGAATGCCATTTTGAGAATTAAAAACCTCGAAAATTCAAAAAACTCAAAGTATGAAAATTTCTTTTTTAAAATTCAAAGTTTTTTTTCAAAATTTACTTTATGATTTTTTTGTTTTCCTTATTTTTTTTCTTCAAAATCTGTGGTCTTGCTAGCCTATATTACTATGGCTGTCGAATATTTCAAAATTAGTGTTAACCAGTTGGGCTTTTCGAAAATCCCAAGGATAGGGAACCTACCACCCTCTTCCTTTCAAAAGGACCCCTTACGAGCCCCCTGCTCTTAAGATCCCCAGCTCTTTTTCCTAACTTTTTCTCCAAAATGTAATTGGAGAACCTAATTTTAATTTGCTTTGTTTCCAGCTGGTGCACATCCATAGTCCTCTCTACTTCTTTCCTCAAGTTCGGAGGGAGGAGGGCCGCCTTCAATCTGTTCATCACTGGAAGTCTCAGCTACGGACTGCTGACCACCGCCATCTCTCTCTCCTCCCTCACCTCGGACAAGTTTCTGTTCGGACTCTCCTTCACCACCTTCTACTCCATCAGGGGCATGAGTCAGGCTAGTATTAAAAGAACTAACAAATCATCAGAGCCAGTTCGCACATTTTCTCTGATCTTTCCCACTGTTTGTGTCTCTAATGCACTCGAAAAATTGTGATTAACAAGAGCTGTTTTTTTTTGCATCTAATTCATTTGGATGTATACGCTATGGTTGCACCAAAAATACGCCTTTAGATGTATTTTTGAACTTTTTTGTTTTGTTGGCGAATAAGCTCAGTTTTATCGAAAAAGAGGCAAAGACTGCAGGAAAAAAAACATCGATGATGCAAATGATATGCAAATCTGTGGCAGCCAGATTGATTTTGCATCAACTTTTTATTCAAAGAGCACATCATTTGGCAATTGAAAACCCGTTGCTGAGACGGGCTGTAACTTGGAAAGACATTAGGTCAAAACAGTGAAAACTTAGAAAAATGCGAACAGTCAATATCACTATTTTTGGCTCAGATAAACAAAATAAATCAAAATAAAACAAAACAAAACCAGTCATAGCTTAAAATAAGTTGTTCCGTGTATGTCGGGTTGAGTTTCTCTTGTACCCTTAGGCTCTTCTTTTTTCGTCCGTGAACACCATTCTGCTATCAGAGGAGTTCAGCGGACATGTCTCCTTCGCCAAGGCACTGGACACTCTGGCATACACTATGGGCTCCATCTTCTCCTTCATCCTGTCCGGATACTTGTACGGCCAGTTCGGGTTCAGATATGTCGTCATCATTCTGGGTGAGAAGCGTATTGTTTCTTTCGAGAGCAACGATACCAGGGTTCGGATCCACTTTACATATGCTGATTTATCTTCCATTGAAAAACTCATAAAATTCTAAGAAATATTATAACACAAAAAAAAGAAGAAACTAAAGAAAAAATGTATAAAGTTAGCTTGAGTGTACTTGGGGATTGGTTTTGATCCAAAAAAATTCTCAAACATTTTACACAAGGCATATTGAAATTTTTTGATTAAGAATTGAAGGTTTCGATGAGTTCACAGCGTGGTTTCAGGCTCTATTCAATCTGTCATATCTCTCTCTTACATCTACCTGTTGCCCAAGAAAACACAAAGCACAGAAAGTACAGTGGACAAGGTCACCGCCAGCACCAGCTTCAAGGTAACCGACCTTCTGCAGCATATAACCATCATGTTTAAGAATCGCCGCATCCGCTTTGATTGCATTGCTGCTTTGAAGAATGGTAGGTTGGACGATTTCAAAAACAAAATTAGCAGAAGAGTCATTTATGTATTTTTAAGTGACTAAAATCCAGAAAAAAAAAACATTTTTTACAGGACAACCAGAAGTTCAAAGCATGTGAACTCAGCAGAAAAATCAGGCAAAACAAAAAGCGATTCTCAAAAAAATCAACTCAGATCTAAGATTTGAACAATTGTTCATAGTTAGTCGACATCTAAACGCAAACTCATGCTGTTTTAGGTGATCGCCAGAGTTGTGCGCAACCCCGAGATCCTCTGCACCCTGATGAGTCACTGTCTCGTCTACTTCACCCTCTTCTACCTCTCCCCCATCTTCACCCCCTACGTCACCTCCGAATTCGGACTCTCAGCCGTCTTCACAGGCATGATAGCCTGTCTGCCTTATTTGGCAATGTCGCTCTTCGGCACCTCGTGGAGTTTCGTTGCCACTAACCGGTTCCGCAGAAAGTTTTGCCTCACTATCCCACTTATATGTTAGTTCATTATAGCACAACTTCCACTCTCAGGAGTTCGACTGAGCTTTTTGGCCGCAAAGAGTCCCTTCTGGCACTATTTTTGCAAAAGCATTTGTGACCAGTCTTTTTTCGAAATGGTAGAAGTTTTGATAATTTTATATTGAAGATTTATGGGCGCGGAGTAGTTCGCACAATAATCGCAATTTTGTATTCAAACCTATTTAAACCCTTCTCGTTCGAAACCATTTTTGTTTAAAAGTTTTCTCTATGAAGCACAATCATTTGGTTTATATCCGTTTTACAATTTACGGAAATTATGACGACTTTTTTTTAGTGTTTGGGTGTATATCGTGGCTGTCTGGCCCGGACCCCCTCCTGACTCAAAACTCCAGTCTGATATCTCTCTCTATCACTCTTTTTATCGGTGGAGGGTTTCTTGTCTCCAATCTTGTGTTGAACACACCGGAGCTTCGCGATCAGGCCGAGGATCACGGCTACAACACCGAGGACATTTGCATCTCGGCAACCCTCGCTTCTCTGCTGACGTCATTCGAATTTCTCGGAGAGATTGTCGGTCCGCCGAGTGGAGGTTGTCTGGCCGATTTGTTCTCGGAGCGACGAGCATTTTCAATAGGAGGCTCGTTAGTCGGACTAATCGGAGTAATTAGAGCAGTAATTTATCTTGTGAACTATTTTAAACGCAAACAGAGTGTTGAAAACTTGGTCCGAACTAAATCTAGTTACATTTGAGTTTGCGTTTCGGTATAACACTACAGAAAAAAAAAATACTTTTGTTAAACATTGAAGATGTATTTGAATTTTGTTCATTAATAATAATACTTCGATAAATTTACATGCTCGAAAGCTCCGAAATATGAGACTCAAAAACAAGAACTCAACCTTTAAAGAAAATTAAATTTTCTAGAACATTAAAACATATTCAGCTCTCCATTTTTTCAGTCACTTCTTCGTACGTGGATAGTATGATCCTAGTAAAATATTTATGTGAAAAACAGGAAAATATGTTGTAAAACTGATCCGCGAGGAGCTGAAAACTATTTCCAACAGGGTGTTTTTAAAAAAGACTGTTTTCTTCTGCTTTCCATGCTAATAATTTTCATTGTTTAACATGATCTTAACGTTCCTAACTAACGACATTCAAGGCGTTCTCGTGTTTTAATATAAACTGATGCTAGCAAAGATATCATCTGAATATTGCAAATTTTGGATCGAAATGCAAATGAAAGAGTTCCAAGTGAGGAAATTTACAGAGCACGATAACTTTCATGACTTAGGACTATTTCACAAAACGGAGGCTGCAATTTTAAAAACAAAATTCGACCTGATTGAATTTGAATTCGATAAAAAGTAGATGGGCTCGTCAATATGTCACGTATTAGAGTGTGGAAAGATGAATAGATAAGCACCTGAAATCTTCGGGATGAGACATCAGCAAATTTTGTGATTTAAGCACTTACTATGGTTCATAACAATCCGTTGGAATATATGGCAAAAGGTTACGAAGATCAAAGATTGGGTGGTAGAACGTTTATGACAAATTTTTTTACTGATTAATGTTGACAAGAAGGGAAGATTTTTAAAAAAGCGACGACTATTTGCATTAAATGAGGTTTACAGTCAATTGATAAGTTAAAATAAATTGAAAAATATACTCAAAAACTTAGTTTTGAGATTTCTGAAGAAATTTTTCCAAACATGCGTCGACTTGGCAAAATAGAATTGATTCGGTATTTGAGTCTTGACTCTCCTCTACAAAAGATGGTGGCAATGACTTAAGCATATCCTGTACCTCTTCATCTGTAAACGTCCTTGTCGGAGCGTCTGTTGAGATTGCAGAAGTGGTTGTTCGTGAAGAACTTGTTTGTGCTACCAGTATTTTCTCACTTGCTTCCTCGTTTTTCTTGCACGTTGTCGCTGATTGTGTCTTCAATCAGTAGACTTGTATTGTCCGCGCGGAACAAGCCTTCTTCTAGTACCTCACTACAACGCCTACAAACAATCTTTCGTCGTAAATTTTTGGAGGTTCATCATTACTTCTAGGTCTTGTAGAAAAAACGATTGTTTTTATATTTCAACACGCCCGATTTCAAACACAGGAAGCTCTGTCGTAGAAGAGTCGTCGTTCAACTCGTACAAAGGAGACTCAGATATGTTATACTTGAGAGTATGGAACCACTTCAATGAATATTCAATGAAATCGAAGGCTGTTGGTGGTTAAACTGGCTCTGTGATCCGATTCATGTTTGGGCAGGGATGATGCTAACTGGGTACTCTGATGACAGTCTTTATCTGTTCCAATCTAAACCTAAATTTTCGCATTTAATTGGGTTATCCGAAGGATTGATGCTAGACAAATGACGATGTTTTGATTCATAAAAATTTTTCATAGATCTTTTTCTCCCCACCTCCTTGCAAGAAAAACCGCCGACCTTCCATTCCAGTTGCTAAAATCCGATCAATCAGAATATAAATGAAAGCAATTTCCGCTGAGAATTCTGGTAAAAATTCTTCCTCTTGAATCTCTGGGGCGTATATGGTCTTCGTGTTTATTGGCTTCATTGCTCTGAAAGGTTTTCTTGACGTTTTCATCATTTTGTCAAGTGTCCGACAAAGTGATTGCCGCACCTTGTTAAGATTTGATTCTAGCCTTCTTTTCTTTGATCCTAATCCTACTTTATACAGAAATTTAAAATCGAATGGTAATGCTGCTTTTCAAATTTTTGGCTTGTTGAGGAATCGTCGCGCGTTGCTATACCCGATTTCCGAAGAACTTTTCCAATTGCTAGTGTCCTTGTAGTACTCGATGATTGAACAATTTTCTCGTCCAAAGGTCGGTAATAGGGTTCCTCGTTACTTCAGTTTCAAATATAGAAAGTCTCAATTTTAAAACATTAGGATCTGGATTCATCCAGCGGAAAAACAAAACTAGCGCAATGAAATTGATAGCAACCCTTTGGAATCTATAAAACTTTCGTTAATTCTACCAGTCCCAAATCTTCCATCACTTGGCAGTCATCTCCGACGCCATTCAATCAAGAAATCGATTTTTAATTGGTCAAGCGAACATACCGTCGCTTTTAAAAAACTAAAATCAGAAATAATTAACCTGACAGAAAACACACTCTTCGACGTCCAGCTAAAACAAGGGTAAAAAAGGAAAAAGGATGCTTTGCTCAAAAAAATCCATAGGTCTCCTTCGCGAGCAGATTTTTGAAACGTCATAGATCAAACGAGCTAGAAGCACTTAACAAACAAGCTACATGCTGGAATTATTGGTCTTTTGTTGAGCAGTTGAATCTTACAAAACTTACATTTATGTGATATAGTTTAAAGTGATCACCGTATTTTTGGCATTATCTTCTAACCACGGAAACAAGACATATCGTAGTCACTGTCACTCAACAAAATAGGTAGAAAGACTTTTTAAATTTTTATCGCGAAACAACCTCCCAAAAAAGACATGGGTCCTACTGATTTAACTATTGAGAATACCAAAGGGAAAAACTGTTCCGTCATCATGTAGCAGCAGATGTCAATTTTCTTAGCCGTCTCTGCTAACGGACCCCAGAATTGCACAAGGCGTACTCTCTCCCGTTGGCGTCTGTTCAGGCGTTTGTGGGGTTTAACAATTAGACGTGACTTTCTAATGCACGATTGATTGAGATAGTCCCAGAAGTCTGCAAAACTGATCCGAAGTTTAGGGCGGATCACTTAGTCTGCTTCTTCAATACTCATATCATTAAAAGTCTTCGTCTCCAGTTCTATTCTGTCGTTTTTGCTTTTGTTCATACTTATTCATCTTTATTCATATGAATTTTTAACTTGTCCTTTGAACTTAGCCGTGGTGGATTCGTTTGGTTGTTCCTGTTCTATCTAAAAAAAATTTGGCTTCAACAATTCATGTGGATGGAACAAGTTTTCAATGTCACTGTTTTTTATTAATATACAACAAAATTGGGGATTCAGTGGTGTTAGTTTGCCAGCTTGAGAGACTTCTCTTATGCCAGATTCGTTCACAGATGACTGCGCCATATAAATCACTGAACAAAAACACTACACGCAATGATACTGAATTCGCTCACTCTGAAAGAATTCGCAAGAAAATAAGTTAAGATCAGATCAGACACGACCTGTTAAATTAAAATTAATTGAATAAAAACTATCACAAAAATATTAATTTTGATATTAAATTTTTTGGACTATTTTAAATATCTTTTTTTTTAAAAAAAGATTTTTTAAAGACATTGCCCTAATATTCGCAGTTTTGTTCGTGCTATAATCCTTGCTTCGTTATTTTTAATTCGTAGTCTTTTATTTCTCTATTAACTAAAAAGCACTATAATTTTTAGCAATCTAAAAAAACATCTTTTTTGTTGTTTTGCATTTCACAGCCAATTTTTCATGAAGAGTTTATTAGCGTCTTATTGCTCATGTTTATATTGTTCAAACTCAATTTGCATGAAAGTATCTTTGAACTGTAATCAGATTCTGCAACAAGGCTCTGTAGTGAAATCCGCACTAAGGCTATTTTTCTTTCATCTTTTTCTTTTTTTCACTATTTTTCTTTCACTAAAACCTATTTTTCTTTCACTAATTAAGGTTTTTTTGTACTGCAAAAAAACCTTAATTAAGAAGCGAACCTCGTGGAATTCAAAAAAACTTGCAGAATCCAGCAAAGTTGGTGGAATCCAAAATCAAACAGTAAAACATGTTTCAAGTGGATTCCGCTGGCAGAAACGGCTTTTTCTAATAGGACACCGTATTTTCTAGACAAAAAGTGCATTTTGTAAAGACGAAAACGCATTATCTAAGGGGAGTCTGCATATTCTTCTTGAAAATGGCAGTTGCGCAGTTACAAATTTGCGGAATCCGCTAACACGTGCAATTGGCAACAACTGGCTAGAAAAATTCGTTGCGGGTTCAGCGACACACAAAATGTACCGACAAATTTAACGTTTCGAGTATCTGTTTGTAAGTTCCACGGGAATTTGTTACGTACTTTTCCAATAACAAATTTTGATGTTTTTAAAGAGTTATCTCTGAACTCCACAGACACAAACGCAATAAACCTTATGCCTTGTGAAAAGTGTTTGACCTCGTAACAGAATGTTTCGACTGAAAGCTAAGTTTAAAATCTTTAGATTGGAGGGTTAGAGGTACGATGTTCACTTGGTCTAATATATGTAGTAACCCATTTCTTAACAAAAAACAGCTACGCTTCATCTCCCCTTCCGCATAGAAACAAAAAAATGCCTGTTCAACCAATTGTTCTATTGTCTAAATTGAAGCAAGAAGAATAAGCAAGCTTATTACGTAGAATGGCACAGAAAGATGACAAAAATCACATCTTTTCACAATTTTTTTTTCGTAGAAATTTTTTGAAATACCGATCGAACTACAATAGAAAGGGCTTTATAACCGCATCTTTTGTATTTTGCAAGGCTAAATCATTGTGGAAAATAAAACAATTTAAAATAAACGTAAATACTTCATTTTCCCAATTGTTGTCTGAAAAAATCACAATGGCAATCAAAAACAAATTTCCAAAAACTAATGTTAAGAGAGATATTGAAATGGCAAAAACACAACTATGAAATTTGATTGTTTTTTCTTATGTTTTTTAACTTTGCCTGTTTTAAAATGTCACTCCAGATTGGCTGGCAGTGCAAATCAATTCTGCATCAGAAATGTTAAAGAATTCCAAAACTGCCCTTTACTCTGTACAGCATCATTTTAACTATGATCAGAAGTGAGGCAAGAGATGAATTTTGTAGCACTGTAAATTTCCTGAGCCATCTGCTGAGTTTTTGCTATATAAATTGAAAACATTTCTTAAAATCAATATTGTCAACTGCTCTAGTCTTACCA